GCCCAGCTCTCCAGTCTGTCCAGGTCCCGCTGAATGGCAGCGCAGCCTTCCAGCGTATCAGCCACTCCTCCCAGTTTTGTGTCGTCAGCAAACTTGCTGATGGTACACTCCGTCCCCTCGTCCAGGTCATTGATGAACAAGTTGAACAAGACTGGGCCGAGTACCGAGCCCTGGGGAACTCCACTAGCTACCGGCCTCCATCTGGACTCTGCCCCGCCGATCAGAACCCTCTGAGCCCTGCCATTCAGCCAGTTCCCAATCCACCTCACTGTCCACTCATCCAACCCATACTTCTTGAGCTTCCCAATGAGGGTGTTATGGGAAACAGTGTCAAAAGCCTTGCTGAAGTCAAGGTAGACAACATCCACCGCTCTCCCCTCGTCTACCCAGCTGGTCATGCCATCATAGAAGGCTATCAGATTGGTCAGGCATGATTTCCCCTTGGTGAATCTGTGCAGTATCACAGCCATATTGCATCTGCAGGTTAATCTTGTTTCTGTTTTTCCTTTATTATGAAATGATACTACCAGTGATACATAGCCAACTACCTGATGTTCTGTCTGAGCAGGCATTAACAATAGCATGGAATTCTCTCCCAAATTAGGTGTTAGACCACAACAATTGTTTTTCTTCCTCTTTGAGAAATAAGTGTAGCCTCCAGCTGAAGATTTCAGTTATTTTTTTTTTATTAGTACACTAGTCAGTGACATTAATGCCTGCGTGCTTGTGAAAAAGCCTATTTTTTTCCTTGCTTTACTTACAGCCCATTTTTACAAAAGCCCTATAGATACAGACTATACAGCAGAATATATCTTGTTGTATAGCCTGTGGATTAGCAATTCTTACACTGTAATGGCACAGGCACAGTTTTGCCTTGTCAAAGTGGTCTCCATAAAACACCTATGTTTTGGTGTGTGAGAAATGCTGATGTAATGAAGAAATAACTCTTGTCTATTTTAATTTTTTTTTTTAAATATGTGTATGTAGTTGTTTGGAGTTCATACAGTGTTAGCAGTGGTAAAAACTCCTGATTGAGTTCCTTATCAGGAATATTTCATATGATATCTAGTGCACGCTACTGTCGTGTATCCTCATGAAAGCCTGGCTAAGTTACTTTCCTTCCCATAACTCTGATCTAAAACCTGTCCAGATCTGTCATTGAAGGACTGTGTGTTATCGCATCTGCTTTCTCAGTCTGGTTGGGATCTCTTTGAAATGTTCTTCCTCTTCTTTTTTTTTTTTTTTTTTTTTTGAGAGAGAGAATTACTAAGGAATGGGTCTGTGGTGGTGGTGGTGGTATCATCTCTTTCATGGGGAGAGAAGTAGAGTACTAGGGAGGGTTGAGCGGAACCGAGGATGGCATGTATGTCCTCAAGAAAATGCATCAAGCTGGCCTTGGAATTCCAGGGACTGAATCTGAGCAACGTTGAGGGATGCCCGTCACATATTTAACTAGACTTTATTTTTTAACATAACTTCAATTTCTGGAGAGAGAAAGTGAAAAACTGATGAACTGGGAACACGGGATAGACCAGGCTCATTTTTCTCCAGACATTTGCATTCTATAACCTCTAGCCTGCTTAGGTTGCACTATGCATAGTCAAGAAACCTCTCCTGTGCACTCTGAGTTGCCCCTGCACAGTGAAAAAATGGTAAGTAAATACAGACTAAAGCTTGGGAAAAGGAAATAGAAGGTAAAAGTAAGGTTACCCAGCTTTTATTACCTACATCTTGCCACAGTTCATGTATGCCAGCATTCAGAAGAGTAGTGTGTACTGTCAGATAATTTGAACTATTTTCACATAATTCACCCTGCAAAATTGTATCTTTAGGTTTCTAGGGTAGACTAAGTATAATGTAGGAGACAATGCTCCACCTCCATGTTTTTAAGAGACATTTTAATATTTTAGTGATGTTCTCGGTCTGTCCTGCACTGTGCTATCAACAAGGGCTTGAGATAGGGCCCAACCTTTGCAGGGGAAGGATCTCCTCATGTGAGTTAGACCAGCCTAAGCAGCAGTCAGGATGAAAGACGGAAGATAATGACAGGAATAGTAATTCTTTTGATCCTGTAACACTCTGAACAGCTGTCTGCAACAAACTGTCATCCAGGTACTTAAATGGCAGGTGAGATGAATGGGTTAATATTTTTTGTATGCTTCCCTCAGCTTGCTGTTTCTCTCTGCTGCCTGAACAGGCTTATCAGGACCAGGCTCATGGCAAGCAAGAATGATATTAAAGTACTCCAAATAAGTTTCTAATTTCCTCCTGTCTGAAGGCTGCTTCCAGTTCCTGTCTCTTTCTCATGGTTGTTCTGCTCTGACTTGAATGGTATCAGGCTTTCCTTCTGCTTTCACTTTTAGGTGTTTCAGTCAAGCGAGGTTCCAGAAAAGACATCATCACCTGAAGAATCAATCCGGATGACGAAAGGAATCACCATGGCAACTGCCAAAGCTGTTGCAGCTGGGAACTCATGCAGACAGGAGGATGTGATTGCTACAGCAAATCTGAGCCGCAAAGCAGTAGCTGACATGCTAACAGCTTGTAAGGTAAAGATTCCCTTCCTTACCTAAAACTAATTTTTCTTTTTTTGTGTGTATGTCTCTGAATCCTTTGAATGTTATAGTTTCTGTTCAGTTTTGTTAATTGTATTAATGCTCTACTTCTCAGATGAAAAAGTCAATGGTTATGGTAATCTTAAGAGAATGTTTCTCTCAGAAAGGATTTTCTGTGCTACGCACAAAAAAAGAAGGAGCATTAATACTGAATATTTTCTCATTGTGAAAATTAGAAGTTTTATTTGACCTAAAATTTCCTAGTTTTCAGCCTTCTATTAAACTGGAAGACAAACAATCTATGCAAGTAGTAGAATATATGAATAATCCTATGGTCACAAATAGGAATGGTGAAAGGAATCGCTCAGGTCTATTTTTAGCAGTCCTTTCCCCCTCACCAAACTCAATTTCTTCTGTTTGTTCAATTTCTTCTGTGCTTTTCAAAAGCATGTTTTGCCTTTGCACTAAAAACACTGGTACTCGGTTTTCTACACTCGCTTGAGCTAGACAACTTTCAAGAACTAACCTGTAAAACTGGGAGGAAAGTATGTGTCATAAATGGCTATTAAGCCATTTGGCTTTGTTCTGATGGTAAAAAAGATCTTCAGCATAAATTAAAAAAAAAAAAACAAAAAAAAAAACCAAAACCAAAACAGATTTTAAAGATCTCATTCCTTCTGGTCTTCAGTAGTAACACAAGTGCCTTTGCCTGTAAATGATATTTATTTACTTTTACCTTTACATGTATGGAAGATGACAGTAAAATAATGGCGCTCTCTGAGAGGTGTCTGATTTTCAGTATTTGGTCAAATCCTAACTATCTGCAGCAGTCCCAGGTTAATTTTTAGCCTAATACTGGCCAGGTGGAAGGGTTAATTTTGTTTTTAAAATGATCCTTGTGCAAAAGTGTAAGTTCTAGTATAACTTCAAACTGGATTTATAGAAAACCATTGAAGGAAACTTTTCATTTTGACTTAGTTTTCTGACAGGTTTTTTAGTGTCTGACAGTTTTTGACTGCTCTGCGTGCTTCAAATTTTGATTCTGTCTTCTCCATAAACTCCGAAGGTTAGCAAAACAAAGCAGCTCTAATTTCCTTGGGAAAATCAAATAACTGTGCTACTTATGTGAGAACTACCGTAGCCTAATATGTCTTGGACTCGATGATCTTAAAGGTCTTTTCCAACCAAAGTGATTCTATGATTGGAAGTTTCAATTAACTGGATTGTATCTAAGGGGGGCTAAGAGCAGTTCCTAGTTGTGCAACACTGACAAATCAATTCAGGCATGAATTTCAGGTGCTGAGGTGCCCTCAACATCCTTTGTCATTTGCAAGTGCAGTGCAGATACATTTTTGTTGCAGTCTCTTCAAACAGGCAGCAAATTCTCAGGAGCAGAATCCTCTGTTTCCAAAAATGTTATCAACACTCTCACATACACAATATACAGCTCGATAGGTAATTTTGAACATTTAATTATGAACATTGTTTACATTTTTCTCCCAGTTAATTTCATGGTTTCTAACTCATGCATTGCAAGTGGCTGATCAGATGAAACTTCCTGCAAACCGCACAATAGAGGTCTGGGATGCTGGAAAAGCATTCGTAAGCTCCCAGGGATTTACCTTCACAAAGAAAGCAATCTACAGAAGGAAAATGGCTGGGAATCATTTTACTTGCATGTAATGATACACTGACAAGGAGTAAGATCTAGTTTTATCTTGTCTAGCTTTCTTAAAATCAAGAATGATTATTGGGCAAACTGGAATAAAAGTCCCCAGGTATACTAATGCACCATCTAAAATGTGTGACAAAATAGCCCTGTCATTTAACAAAGCTTTTAGACATACAGTTTGTACCAGACTATTTAGAAAATCCTGTTTCTACAAATTTTGCTCAGAGACTTAGAAATCCTATGCTATTAATTTCTACAAATTGATTACTGTTGTATTGGGTTTGTGTGGCAAGGTTTTGGTAGCAGGGGGGCTACAGGGGTGGCTTCTGTGAGAAGCTGCCAGAAGCTTCCCCTATGTCTGATAGAGCCAATGCCAGCCGGCTCCAAGAGGGACCTGCCACTGGCCAAGGCCGAACCCATCAGCGATGGTGGTAGCATATCTGTGATAACATATTTAAAAAGGAGAAAAAAAGCCAAACTGTGTAACTGCAGCTGGAGAGAAAAGTGAGAATATATGAAATAGCCCTGCAGAAGAGAAGCTCATGGAGGGCTGTCTCCCATGGGTGGGACCCCACGCTGAAGCAGGGAAGGAGTGTGAGGAGTCCTCCTCCTGAGGAGGAAGGAATGGCAGAGTTGATGTGTGATGAACTGACCTCAACCCTCATTCCACGTCCACCACTGGCGGGGAGGAGGTAGAGAAATCAGGAGTAAAGTTAAGCCCAGGAAGAAGGGAGTGGTGGGAGAAAGGTGTTTTAAGGTTTAGTTTTTATTTTCGCATTACCTTACTCTGATTTGTTTGGTAATAAATTAAACTAATTTCCCCAAGTTGAGTCTGTTTTGCCTGTGGCAGTAGTTGGTGAATACTCTCTCCCTGTCCTTATCTCCACTCTCCCCTGTCCAGCTGAGGAGGGCAGTGATAGAACGGCTCCAGTGGGCACCTGGCATCCCACCATGGTCAACCCACCACAAGTGTACATGGCATTTCCTTGATAAGCCCCATCCACTGAATTTTAGGGCTAGAAACCAGCAGTCTTAGCCTCGCTGTGCTGTAAAAGCTGTGCAATGCAGTGCAGCATGGTTTTTGTGATATTTGACAAATACTGGAGGGGTTTCCAGTGTGATTAAGGTAGTCTGTACGGTAAGCACTGACAAATAATCAGATTTTGTTGTCCTTTGGCCTAAGACAAAAGTGTGTGTATATGATCTATGGTAGAACTGTATAGAACATAGCTCAGGCTTCCCTGGTGTCAGGAATTTAAATTCAAGTTCTAGTCCATTGCCAGCTGCCTAAGGCAAGTAGTATAAGAGATTTGACTTATTAGCAGTTATATATATGCTTGTGCTTGCTCTGCTATACATGAATTTACGGTGCTTATTACTAATTCCATGCTTATAAGTAGATGCCATTTCAAAAGACCATGAGGTTGATTACTGCGGGATATAACGAACCAAGACAACTCTCATTAAAGTCAGTGAAAACACTGTAATTACGTTTACTGACAGTTAGAGCAGGCCCAAAGATAATAACAATTTCTGTCTTTATTACCTATGTGTATAAAATACTGACTATGCAGTAAGTAACCTGTGCATAATATCACTATTTTTAATTATTGTTGGTGGAAAGGAAACAGGTACAAAAGGTCAGTCAAAAGCATAGAAAATAACTGGAGTAATGACTTAGATGGTTACATAGCCAGTAGAATGAGGGAAATGATTACTCGCCTTTTCTCAGCACTCATTAGACTGCATCTAGGATACCGTGTCTGGTTTTGGGCTCCCCAAAAGAAGAAAGGAAGTGATTAAACAGGAGTGAGCTCAGCAGAGCCCACCCAGGCCATTGGGGCTGGAGCACGGGCACTGTGAGGAGACTCTGAAGAACTGCCTGTTCAGCCCGGAGAAGAGACGACTTTGGGGGACCTCACAGCAGCCCTTTAAAACCTACTGGGAGATTGCCGAGAGGAGGCAGCGTCAGGATATTTACTTGAGGTGCATGGCAGGGGAACAAAACACAAGGGTCAAAAATTGAAACCTAGGAACTTCCAATTATTCCACTGTGGGGATAATTAAGCATTGGGACAGGGCCCTAAAGAGGATATGAAATCTCCATTTTGGAGATTATCAGAGACCTAAGTGATCTGAATTTAATGTTGACCCAGCTATAGGCAGGAGGTTGGACTAAGTGAATTCTCAAGGTTCCTTCAAACAGCACTGATTTTTTGACTCTATCTCATATATTTTACCTCCACAAGTTATTCATCAGTGCTCACGGGCTCAAAGTTGTAGTACTGGAGTCAAGCAGGTGCTTGCTGCCTTACTGTTTTGAAAGCACATGAAGAAAAGCCTCGGCATGAGGAAATAAATGTGTATTCTGGTTCTTTGGACATGTGTTTCAGTTTGAGATGCTTCGGCAGGCTTTCTGTGCAAGTCTGAAGTAAATATTTCTCTTGCAAGTCCTAACTGATGTAGTGGGATGTTTCTGGGTTACAAAAATGCCTTCCTTAAATGATTTTATTACCTCTTTAGTCTGCTGTGAAATACATGGTTTGTTTTAAGACTCACTGAACCTTAAAAATGCTCCCAAAATATTCTGATATTAGTCTTTGCTATGTATGCAAAGCATAAAAGGAAGTTTGTATTTCTCTCCTACAGATGTTTGCTCTAATTGCATGTGTAACAATAATATTAAAGTGCGGAAGAGGCATATTAGGGTGCTTACAATGTATTCATGTGAAACACTTGGGGGATCCTTCTGCCCTGTTTGAAAATGAAAAAGAAGCTGTTCTGGATTTTTTGGGCTTCTGAAGCTTGTTTGAAGTATGCTGAAGATCAGGAAAATCCTGACCTGTTTCCTCCCATCTCCTTTCCCTTCAGGTTATTTGTTGACAAGATGAAGAGGGGAAGGTGGCCAGCGAGAGCCGTTTTTGTGCTCTGCTGATCTTGAACTTCCCGGCAGAGGGAGCCCATAGACTAGCTCCGGGCCCAGCTGACAACAGCGTTTGCAGGGTTGCAGGAAGGGCTCAAAATAAGTGAGCAGTGAGATAATCCCCCATCCCAGTGGAAGATGTGAGGCTTGCAGGGGTGGAAGGAGCTGTTCTGTGAGAGGAAATGCTAATTGTTAAGATTTTTAGGAAGTTTCACTTGCCAACAACTAGCACTTCTGTTCAATAAAGAAGTTCCCTAGAAGTTTATTTTAGAAAATATAAGGCTTGAAGAGGCTGCAGTTTTCACTTTTTATTAAAATGGTTGAATTAGTCAGGCTTATGTCAGATATCAGACATTGTACTTAGTGGAAATCCTTAAGAAGTCAACGAACTGACTCTGCTGCTGCTTCTCTGTACTTAAACAGATGGTTCCAGCACTGCCTATTGCTGTGTTAAATCCCTATGTCAAACCGAAGCCATTAATAAGCTTTTACTTACATGGTGCTACCAGATAACAAAAAGCAGCTAACGCTTCTTTGGGTGAGTGGGTTGGTTGGTTTGGGTTTTGTCTCTCTCATGTAGAATAATGATATCCTGGCACTTCTGTGGCACTTTTCATCTGTCGTCTGCAAGGCTTTCTGTAAGGAACAAACTATTATCTTTATCTCCCAGAATAGAGAAGGAATGTACTGCTGACAGTATCTAAGGAGGGACAGTAAGAAAGACTGCAGATGCACACCCAGACCGGAGGATGTGCTGATAAAAGGAAAAGCGTACCCAATGCCATCCTCAGAACTGGAGCTCTGCTGCTCTTTGAGCACAGTTTGGTTACACCTTTACAATAGAGATGGCTGGCCCTCAACCTCAAATGTCATTTGCACATTATGAAAAACCCCTTCCCTTCTCTTTCCCCTATCTTCTTTGTGTTGACCTCTTCTTGTGGGAGCAGTTTTGGGGTATGTAATGTTATTTTGCCTCCTCAGCAAGCATCGTATCACCCAGATGTGAGTGAAGAAGTTCGAGAGCGAGCCCTGCGCTTTGGAACAGAATGTACACTGGGATACTTGGAACTCCTGGAACACGTTCTCCTGGTAAGGAGTCGTCTGCATGCGCATAGTGGATCCCTTCCAAGGAGAATAATCTCTCTGACCTCTTTCTACAATGGCTGCTAGTGACATGTTTTTATCAGTTTGTCACAAGATTATGAAGAGGTTTGTTATTCAGGAAAAGCAAGCTAAAGTAAACTGCTCAAACTGCAAGAACAGAAGGAAGACTGGAAGCACTTAAATGGGACTGCATTCTGGATTAGATTTGGAGGCAGTATGGGTCCTGACCTAAAAATGGTCCTCAACAAAGAAATTAAAATCTCTTCAGTATTCTTTTGAGACCACTGTAAGCATTAGACATATTAGGCACGCTCCTGTCCCCCAGCCCAAAGAGGTTACATAATCTTTATAAAAGCACTTTTACATGCCTTTTGGAGTCCTGATTCCAGGAAAATAAGAGGTACCTGCTCAATGCCATCCGAAAACCCCAAGACAGCACTGCCTCACAAAGAGCTCTCCAACTCGTGCCAAACATAACAACCTCAAAGCTCCATCTAAAACTTCTCCACTAAAATCCACACTCATGAATCCTGCTGTCAGTTGGTTTTTCTTGACCATGCATAATTATCACATAATATATAGTTCGTCTGTTGTTATTACGTTTGTAGGAAGCAATAATGTGTGTTTGATCTAACATTTGTGAGATACTGAAGTTTCTGGAGGTGACTTAAATCAGCAATCAGCTTCATGGATGCCCAGAGATTTCATCTAAGTAGCTTTAAGCTGACATATTAAAGTCTCTGAAACTGAAATTTGCAGCCACTAGCTTCAGATTAGCAAGTCCAAGTCAGCTTTACTGCTGAGAATACAGTGTGTCTAATCATTTACATCAACACGTTGAAATATATGTAACATAGAAGTCAAGTCACAGTTATGCTTGCCACTAGCAGGAAAAATAGTTCAAGAAAGATTGAACTTGTTAATGTAATTCCTAGAGCTGCATAGGAGCAAGTAATTTAGCATTAGATGTGTGATCCGTTTTTAGTTTAGAAGTACTTCAGGGAATTTTTCAGACTTGGTCTCCCGAACTCATAGTACTTGTTTCAAACTATATGTCAGAACAGACCAAGGACTTGAGTCAATTTTTGCTCATTTTATTTTTCTTTCTCTGGTTAAGTGAAGAAGCTTAAGGTAAGAAAGACCTGTTCCTCCAAAAAAGCAGAACAGGCCTTTCTTACCTCAAGCTGCTTTACTTCCAGGGCTCTAAAGCCATGAGAAAATTCCCCCCCGCAATGTTTACTGCCTTAAAAAAAATGAGAATGACCCAGATTACAACCACGATTGAAGAGCATAAGGCCTGCATGGCAAAAAAGATGTATGGAATGGTAACTCCATTGTGACTCTTTGCTGAAGTCTGTCTAGAACTAGTCACATATGCATGTAATACATCCATGCTGTGCTCCATAAATGTAAACGGGATCTGGAAAGTAGATGGAAAAAAGATCACTTTCAGAGGAGCACTGAACCAAGTAGACTTTTTGCTCTAGGGACTTTTGCCCTCTTTCCCCTGAGTTCTAACTCTTGGGAGTTGTGGCAGAGACACAGTCTAGATGTAATCCAAGTGATTTGTTTACTTGTTCTGTGGTTACCTGAGCTGTTCTCCTGCCATATGCAATCTTGCTAACTTAACATCCTAGCTCAGATTTGTTTTGCTCAGATAAAAGAAAACTATAGCAAGATGGTTTCAGCATCAAGCAGTCCCGTTGCTTCCTGATCCCTGTTACTCTGGTAGTTTAGAACCCCTAAGCCTACCATCTCATTTAATTTATAACTTCCAGAAATGCGGATCATCTCAGATTAGAAATCTCTAATTAGTCCACATGGCACCTTGTGATACAATTGTTAGTAAGTTCAGTCATGCCCTTGGTAGTCAGGCTAGGGATGATTGCACGGGTGTCTCAACACAGGCATGCCAAGGAGCCGTCTTTTTTTGAAGATGATACTTTTTAGGTGCAAGAGCTGTCAGATGTGGTATCTAAGATATCTTAAGCCAGTGTATTGACTTGTGCAGAGGTTGCATTGGGCAAGTGGCACAAAACTGACTTGATTCCTCAAAGGAATATTCCTCTAATCACCTAGCTAGGGGTAGGGCACAGGAACACGCTAATTAAAGCTGTTGGGCATGCATAAATTAGTATAAAACAACTTGTAAGTTGTATTCTTAGCAAGGTTAAAGACTGAGCTGCCCTCCTACATATTCATGTGCTCCATCTCGGTCAGTATTGATGCATACTGAGTTGAGGGGAAATCTGAAGCTTTTGTTGTTCTCGTGCCATGCCTGTACATGACTCTCCAGGGGATGAGAACCTGCTGTGAGTTCTAAATCAGCTTTAAAACAATGCAGTTTGTAAACCACCTAATTGTAAAATTTGCATCCACTTGTTCAATTCCAACAGTGTCACCACTATTATATATAGCACTAGTGTCACAGTTGCTGGAGCAGAAAATGTCATTCTCTGCTATAGTCTGACCACATTTGTGTATTTTTGGACATTTTTGCTTGTATGGGAAGATAACCCTTGAGATGCTCAATGCTCAATTTCTGCCATACTAAGGGATTATGCAGTGTATAAACCTTGGTTATAACTGTGTTGTTCCATTTTGCTAGCATTGCAGACTGTTTAGCTATCGAGGATTCGTTTGCTTCTGTTTATTATGGAAACTAGTTGACTAAAGATCATCCTTAGGAAGCAGGAGACCACCCATATTTTGACATGGCAGTTCCAGAGAGAGAGAATTCCTCAAGTGGCAGAGCTCTCACCAAAGTTAAGAGAACAATTCAGTTTAGCTTATTCTGTCAAAGTGAGGGGTTAGGCATTTGACTGCAAAATAGGAAACACACTTACAAAAAGATAAAAAGTATTTTCAATGTGTACCTAGTTTTCAGAGCTGCTTTGAGCAGGAGTTTTCAAAAACAATAAGAAAATGCACACCTGAATGTGACTCAACCTCTTGTTGTTTTGCTCTTAAATCTCTGTATCTGTCACTCTCCTCTCAGAAGTAGTTTTTGAGTATACATGAATTTCCAGAACTTATCTTTTTTTTCTCCTTATAAAATAGTAATTAAAAATGCAAACTTTATTCCTGTTTGGGGGAAGAATTCAACTTCACTGCCCGAATGTCTGACTGTTTTCCATTTGAAGAAGCACGGTTTAATACTTGATGCAAATTTAGCTCAGAGGTGTGTGTCTTTCCCTTCTGTTTAAGGGCCTTGCCCAGGGCTGGCATCTCCATTGCGTTCACCATTGCTGATTTTTTTCCAGAACAGGCAACTAGTGCTAGCTTACGGAACTCTCTAATTCTGTTTCTTAGAAATAGTGACCAACAAGTTTGTTAATACTAGAAAATCGTCTCCTCTCCAGCAGTTTAGAAAGACTAAGCCTGATGTGTACATATAATGACTATAATACCTGAGAATGGAGCACTAAAACTGCATGTTCCTTCCACATACTCACACATGCACCTCTGTTTTGGAGAATTCTGTCCTAGTTTTAGTACTGGGAACTTCCAGACAGTATTGTCAGTTCCTGTAGAAATGCATCAGATGTTGCAGTGTAAGCCTTTGCTCCTAGTGATTCATTGACAATTGTATTTCTCTCACTGGACTCATGTTTTCTCTCAGCTGATTGCTGTATAAAATAAATATTTCACTAATGTGCCTTGGGGGTATTCCAGCGTTCTCTGGAATCCTTACTAATACGCATTATTACATTTTATCTTTTTCTCTAGATTCTTCAAAAGCCAACTCCAGAACTAAAGCATCAGTTGGCCTCTTTCTCCAAGCGGGTTGCTGGTGCTGTTACAGAGCTCATCCAATCAGCAGAAGCAATGAAAGGTGTGTTGGGCAGCCTGGCTACCAGTACAGTGTGCTTTTTACTCCAGAGATGATGACCTGTCATTTCTGTAGTTTAAAACAAAACCAAAAACTAACAAATGCACTTTTAGTATGTTCTCGGTGCCTTGGTACCACCTACTTCCATTCTTTTAATTTCTCTGCTGGTATTCACTTGCTCACAGTGTGGTAAACATGTCTATTTGACCCTCTTCCACTTCATATGATCGGTTATAAGTCATCTGTAAATCACGTGGCCTTTGAAGGTGGAACATCAAGCAGAGCAGTCAAGAGCCACAATAGCAGAAAACAAAATACAGTATTGCTCCTCTTGAACTGGTGGCTGAGTTGTCATTGGATGGCTGGTTCCTTTCCTTACACTCATGTTTGTTCAATCAGGATAAGTCCTTTGCTTTGCAGCGATAGTTGCTTTCCAACTTCAAATAAAAGGGAATAGCATCATCTTACTGAATTAACACTCAACCTCTAGCAATGATGTCAGTTTTAGATCTGTAGTGCTTACAGCCCCTCTGTCTAGGTCCTGCCCAACAAAGTGTGTTAATCAAACAATGAGACTTGAGAAAATAATACAAATTCAGCACTGAAGTAAGCAATTAATTCCATTGCTTAGCAGAAGTTTACTGTTCTTATAACAGATGAGTGATATTTTTCTCAGATACTGACTTCCTTACTAAAATTTTTATGCAGTGATGCATGTGAACTCTTAGGACAACAGTTCTAACATTCTGCATTTTAAATGAGGTGAATACATATTAAGGGTGGTGTTGTTAAATATGAGACCACTACTGCTGAAGCACATCTACTGCCAGATTTACTGGGAATTTCAATCTAAAGAAATCTTCACAGCCATCAGAAAGGCATATGAGCATTCTAATCTCATAGGTAATAGAATGCTACAGTAAAATATTTTTAATAAAGCATTATAAAACTTTAATTCTGCCACCCCCTCCTCTCCCCCCGCCAACAAAGGCTTTTAGTAAATTCAACCATTCTTTCCTAAGCTAGGCCAGAGAACACTATACTCATTTTTCTGATATTCTGTGTAATATACATTGCAGGTTTTCCTCAGTTATTTCCTGGTTTATCGGTACACATTCTTTGGAAAAGAATCCTGGCTAAACACTTTTCATATATGGGAATCCCATATTATTTTCTTATGTTTTTTTTTTTTTCTCTGTCTTAATATAGTTACTCTGTTTCATATAACAGTGATCAACATTATGCTTTTTCCCTGCTCAGGTAAATTTATTGAGTTCTTCAGCCTTTTCTGCACTCTTTCTTATGTTTTCATTCACTAAGAAGCCAAGCCAATATCAGAATTTTTCTATTCTATAAATGCTTTTAAAAAATCTTTTTATTGTCCTCATCTTTGGAGACATTTATTAACTTCTAATAGTTTTTAAATTTTAATTCATATTCATTAAAATAAAAATTCACTTTTAAATTATTTTTTCACTTACTGCCTGTAGGGGATTTTTAAAAATTCACTTCAGAAGCTTTTTTGTGGAAAGTAAAATGTTTTTTAGCCATTCCCAGTTTTAATTCTTGATTTTCATTTATAGATACATCATAAAATTGTCTCCTAACCAATTCAGCACGTAAATGTTTTCACCTTTGTGAAATGCCTTTTTTTGAAGAGGAACTGCTACATTTTACAAGTTTTGGTTTTGGCTGTGGTTCTACATGCTGCCTGTATCAAAAATTGGGTTTTTTTCCCTGCTTATCTGCTAATATCAGGGTTTAACATACAATTCCTTTATCTTGTATACCATTTAAGCTGAGAAATTGTCTTTGGTAATGTTTTGATACTTGATATAAAATATGTATATACATACTATATAGGGTTTAGCAGCATGAAACGTAGCTCACTAGGATTACAGTACCATGTACTTCAGCCTTCTCCTAGCATATCATAAATAGGAGCCAGTCATTTTTTATTCTCATGTGATTTGGGCATCCACAACAGAAACTGCCTCGTTCTTCAGCTGGTGCCATGTTGATCCATAAGCATTCAAGGTTATTTCCTTTGATGTTTGATGAAATCAGACACAGCTTATGCTATTCCTGATGCAAAGTGCCAGTATCCTTCTTCTCTGTCACTCTTCCTTAATAACAATTAATGTTTTAGTTGATATTTTACTAGTAGGTTCACCCAAACTTTATGATCCAGTTTCAATAAGTTTAACAAGGCTTTAAGAGATTTTTTTTTTTTTCCCTTTGTTTTTTTTCATTCTAGCTTAGTCTTCCCTTGCCTGGTGTACGCTGCTTCCCATCCTTTTCTGTGTCCATCTGTGACACCACTTCTTCCCCTTGCCATTTAGTAGTTATGAACTTAAAAGTTTTATTTCTGGTTTCCTTTTCTCTCTCCATCTGATTTTCCTTGTGGCTGTTTCATTGCTTCCCTCAGTCCAGAACATGGATGCTTTCTGAATCTTGTCATCCAGAGAATAATGTGAAATTGAAAATAATAATGCACTGAGAACCTCCAAAAATCTGAGATCCCCTCCAGCCTTCATTTTGTGGACCTACAAAATTTCTTTGAGCCAAAAGAAATGGCAAAATCTCAACCAAAAAAAACCCAAAAAACCCCAAAACAAACCCAAAACTTGACCTTTGGATATGTTACAAAAACTGCTTTGGCCTTCTCTGCATTGCTGCTAGAAACCCACTGCCAAAAACATGCTTTCTTCAGTCAATACTAGCTTCATCTCTAACCCAAAAAAAGACTCTGAAAACTGTGCTGGAGATAATTATCTGTTGTCTATAACTTGCCCTCTTTTTACCATTCTGTCAGACCTCTCAATGTACCTTACAACTTGGTCAAGTTAGAAACCATCTTAGTAAGAGCTCTGATAAATGAAAGTTGAGTGACAGCTATTTTGTTGCCAGTATAGACAGTATCCCTTTTGAAGCTGCTTTGCTTACACAGTTCTTAATTCAGTTACTTTCATAACAGAATAATCCTACTAACTTAAATTTTGCTCTCAGTGGCATGAACTATCATGGTTTTATGCCGTTGCGGTACTAAAATAAGCTTTCTACGATGCGCATTCCGTATTTGACACTTGAAGTGTGATTGTAAACCATCCTGTTTGAATGGCAGCTGACAGTGGCACTGAAGTTATTGTCTTCGTCTCCATTAATTTCAGGGACAGAGTGGGTGGATCCAGAAGACCCAACAGTCATTGCAGAGACAGAGCTCCTAGGGGCTGCAGCATCAATTGAGGCTGCAGCAAAGAAGTTAGAGCAGCTGAAACCAAGAGCCAAGCCAAAGGTGAGTGTCCATCCCCATTGTTTCTTTGAAGTTAATAAAGCAGAAGATGCATATAGCCCATATATCGGTGTATACTTTGTTACTGTCCACAATAATGGTATAAACAATCAAACCTTGAATCAGTCTCAGTGCCACTAGACACTGCACTGGATGGGACTTACCCCTGAAAGAAGAGGGTAAAAAAGGTGCTTTTCAGGGAGTGAGTCAAGCACCAGTCAAGAGCAAGCAAAGGAAGAAAAGCCAAATGTTAGAAATGCTTTTAAGAGTTACAGTATCATTACTGTTGGTTTACTTTTCTGTTTCCAAACACACTTTACTGTTGTGAAAAGTCATTCACACTTGCTTTCCTTTGAAGACCCTTTGTTCTCATCTGAATGTGTGTAGTATAGCAGGAGAATGCAGCAGCAACACAGAAGGCATTCAGCAGAATGCAAAAGACCTTCAGGATTTCGAAGATTAAAATCATAGCATTTTATGCCATGCTAAAAGAGTAGCTGCTTCAGTATCAAATCAGATATGTGGTATGACCATTTCTATTTAATTTTCCTGAAGGAAAATAAATTACAGTTCATTATGAAAGCAAGCAGTGTTGCATGTTGCCAGGTCATTTCAAACGTGTCTCTGAATATATTATATAAAATTAAGCCAAGTATTTTCATGCATGGTACAGAGGGAGTATATGGAACGGTTGTTGCTTCTGGTTGTATGCATAGCTCAAAAGACTGCATCACAGAGAATTGCTACCTTTTGCCTAGTGCGGAATAACAGGCAGGTTTTAGAAGAAATTACTATGTTGCCAAAAACTGCATCTCTTTAAAATGAAAATCATGCTTTGTGTAATTGACTTCAGGAAAGGACTATGTATCTATTTCCCTGTTTATGCTGCTTTGTAGATGCAAAACTGTTTTCTAAGTAAAGCTAATGAGAAGGCTTTCTAAAAAGCAGGGCCTCCAGAACATTCAGTGTTGGATGATTGGTTTTGGTGCCGGCTGGTATTCTGTCATTCAGGAACATCAGATGAAATAGTTCTTGGTAGGTTCACTCTTTGAGGACTTCCCACCCACCCGCCCCCCCTGCTTAGTGATGGCAATAAATTAGCTCATGAAAAAGAAATGCTCTTTGTCCTGCATTTTTTAACAAGTACATCCATTTTGTTTATAAAGAAAAATGGTCTTTTATAATGAGATTCTACAGAGCAGAGGACACAGGCTGAGTCGGAGGAGAGGAAGAGTCCTCCATCACCTTTTCTATACAATCGCTGCACAATAGCATATGTGTGTTGCTTAGTAACCATGGAGCGGTTTCCTTCCAACATCTAAACCACTCCAGGGTCATTGTAATTTCCCAGTGAATACAGATCTCACACCTGCTCCTCATTTAACATGTTAATTTGAGTATCCAGTCTGCCTGTGATTTATTGGTCTGTTTATTTGTAATTTTCTGAAACTGGAATTCATATCCAACTGTTTGATTTGGGATTTAAACAGCCTTTACAATCCTTTTTCAGATGTTTAATCCCTTTCACAATATGGATTGTAATACACATCAAAGATACTAGGAAGATCACAGAGTGGCTCAAATACCACTTTTTCTGCTGAAGACTTGTAGCTTGTATCCTCCCAGAGTAGGATTTCCTGCTTCGAACAGGCTCTGCTTTTCCGATGCTCATCTTTGACAACACACATAGTGTTATAGTGTCAATGCCTAGACTAGGTAAGAGGGTTGATACAATTGATTTTTCTTATGCTTAGTCTATGAAATGCAGGAATAGTAGCTGTCTTCTACAATGGAAGAGACCGCTGGTCCAGCTATAGACCAATATCCTGCTTTGGTTAACAGTAATCATCATCGAGTGAACTTGCAGGGAAGTCCTTAGTCGGTAATTTTAGAATAATCTGCCTGCAGGAAATCTATCATCTTCATCATTATTAATTGGTGGCTGATTCTCTATTTTTGGGTAAGCTTTTGGTTTTGGGGCAGGGAGTGGGAGTGATGTGATTTAGGCTTGAAATTTTCATGTTTGTGTGTTCCAGTTTGTCTATTACCTCTAAAGAAAAAAATCAATAGTTGAAGGTAGGGTGTTTTCTCATTTGTTCCACTATCTTAATTTTTTTATACTTTTGAATTTTTTAATTCTTTTCCTTGTTTCCTCTCCCTATTTTTGCACCTATCATACCCCCTCAATGTCTTAGACTGAGACCAATAGCATGAGATGTCTTCATTTTCTACTATTGGGAATCATCCCAGAGAACAATTTCTATTAAGATATAGACCTGCTAACTGCTGCCCATATTTTATTGTATGATGCATATTCTGTTTGCCTTAAATCCTCATTGTTTGGCTACTGGTGAATGTGCTCCTAAAATTCTTATTCCACTAGTCTACTGCCCCATTGACACGCTGTTAACATCTGTCTGTCTTCTGAGCTTATATCTTGCAAGCGCTTTGAGGAGTCTCCTAGGCAGATGTTGTTACCCCTCCCTGTAACATAAAACCTATTCAGGATTCTCATTGCAGTGTTAAAGGTGGGGAATTATCTGTGAAGCAATGAGATCTTTATAGTTTATTAAGCAAGTTTTGGCTCTCCATAATTCCTTTAAATGCAATTATGTTTTTCCTGAGTGTGGACTCTTTCTGTTTTCCATTTTTGGAGGGTCAAGTGTCTTGCAATGCAGCCACATACTCCTCCTGTTACGCAAATATGCCACTGGCTGTAAAATAACACCCCCGCCAAAATTAGTAGTTTTTTTGAAGAAGAAAAACATTTTGTCTAATAAAACCTACATGCTTCACTAATACTGGAAAAAGAACTCTTTTAAGGAAAAAGATGTGGTAAATGAGGTACGACAGCAGAGAGCATTGCTGTACCTAGCCTATTCTGTTGGTATGCTCTTCATGCTTCTATGCGGGCTTATGCCTTCAAACACCAAGTGTCTTTAATAGCCAATAAGAGTTCCCTGCTGTTAGCTTTCAGCAGTTTGTCCTTTTTTTTTCCCAAGATGAATCAAACCTGGATGCCTTTTTCTGCAGGACTCTGTGTGATATGTTTGATATATTAGGTTGTTATTTAATCCAACTATATATCAAACATATTCCTACAGTGTCCTGCCCTGTCTCCGGGGGTTTTAACATAGTAGAAGGCAATATGAAGGAGTACATTCACTCACAAGCAGGTTTAGAAGACTTCCTGCAGAATCCTAATCTAATCTGATTTAAAATATATACGTGAAGGGCTCCTTTATCAGTAGACTTGCTCTTGGAGGGACTTTTAAGTCGTGTGGGGCCTTTTCCGACAGTGAGCAGCAGCTGTGCCAAGAACTGCCTTTCACTGAAATGGTTGTGTTTTCCATGGCTCAGTGTAGTAACTTACCCATGTTGGTTTTCTCTTTATGAAATAGAAGATGAGAGCTGCTTCAAAATAAAATGGTTTGTCTTTTGTAACTTTTTCTACTGTTTAGCAATGAGATTGGGGGCTCATTTGTTCTCCTATTAACCCTGACTTTATTGTGCTACCCCTAGTAATATAGATTCTATAGAAAACTGTCTAAAATGCGGTACAGAAACATCTCAAATTATATATTTTTTTAGTGGTGCAATCAACGTCTTCAGGATATTTCATGCTACAGACTTTGTAGCTTAGCCTAATAATTTTGGTTTGTCTGTTCTGGTGACTTCATGTTCCAATCCATTTATACCCATGCGTAGTCAATAACAGCTTATTAGTTTAAGCTTGTGGAAGAAAGAGATGCTGATCTTCATAGGGGCTACTTGAGGGAGAAGCAGCTAACCACTTGTCTCATAGATCTGGTTTTCTAAAGAAACCCAAGTAGCCCTCTCAAGTAACTGAAATCTTATAAGGTGAAATTTTCTGCCATGTATCACATCATTGCTCCTAACTTTGTTCATGAAGGTTGTGAACTAACACATGTTGTGAGGGTATTGTTGATGAGCGTGAACTTAAGACAGTTCAGGATGTGCTCGTTAATAACGGGAATGAGTAGAAGAATTACTTCTCTTGTAGGGCATTTTGCTGTGTTCAACCTTGGACAGCTACATGTCCTTACTGCTAAGGAATGCTCTTTGAAGAGTACAGGCAGGTAAACATACCCAGAGCGCTGGCTGAGCATTGTGCCTACTTCCCCATTTCAAACATGAGTATCCAGCCCTTAGATGTCATACCTGCAAATGCTGAAGGGAAAACTGCAGGGAAGGACTAGAAAGCAAGGATTTGCTATAAAAGATGAAAACTCAACAGAAGTTCCACATCTGGAGTGCTGTGGAAAGGCTGCTTCAAAAATACATTCTCCACAGAAGGGATCAACTGTCAATATAAAAACTTTTTTCTTTTTTTCCAGAAATAAAAGAAGTTGTGATGTGACAGGAAATGTAGGATTTGGGAGTTTGAGAAACTCAGGGTGTGGTTTCTTTTCCCCACCACCCAAATTTCAACAGAATTGGAAAGAAATCCATTTGGTACAGGGCGGGGGAATAAATC